CAGTTTGAGCTGTACTCTAATAACTTTCCTTAAACAAATTTAAACGTATTAATTTGTTAAAAATTATAATAATAACAATAATGGTAACAATAACCAAAGAAAAGCACAGGTTTTTACAGTAAATGTTTCATTTTCCGACGATTAACACACTGTTGCACTAGTAGCCCTAAGGCAAGGGGTCAAATTCATTCGGGAGGGGTTTCTTTATTACAAAACTTTAGCAAACTGCCTCAAACTTCTGCAAGACTCTTGAATATTTGAGTCAATTAATGTTACTGTTAGTATCCATTTTATTGTTCAGCTAATAATCCTAAAATGCAGCTTATGTTTTGTGAGGTATCAAATTAATTATTTTTGCTACTATTTTTTATTATAAACAAATACTTTTCTGTATACCTTTCGCGAATTTCCCATATATGGAATATATGGGAATGAATATATATTATGAATATATATTTCTCATCTATTACCGTAGGTTTCATGGGAAGACCTGGACCCAGGACTGGTATACTTTTTTCGCGTTTGAGGTTCCCAGGAACTAAAAACACGATCCGATCAAATTCATATATATAAGTGTGTGTGTGTGTGTGTGTGTGTGTGTGTGTGTGTGTGTGTGTGTGTCCGGCAGCACCATAATTTGACTAAAAATGATCCAACTTTAATTAAATTTGTTACAAACGTATAAATCTACAATTATTCGAAAGAGTTCGCAAACCAGTATGGTCGGACTATGGTAACGAGGGTTTACGGAGTAAAAGTTGGATTTTCTCATTTATGATCCTGAACTAAAAATATTTCAATTTCTTTCATAACTGTTTTGTAGAGCGTAAAAAATAAATAATTTAGTACAATTATTGTATCTCTATGCGTTGTTGTATCTCTAATTGTTAAGGAGAAAATTCCAAAAAGTATAAATGTTAAATTCCCATGTCATTTCTTTGGAGGATAAATAATATACTGTTGTAGTTTGCTTGCTTTTGGATATATTCTATTGAAATTTGGCAAATTTGTTTATTTTGTAATAAGCTATCATAATTTTAATAAAACACACACCTTAATACATTCCCTGTAGCAACAAAACTAAGTAGTCATGGATATACTGAAATTAATTTTATTTAAATAGGAAATAACTATAACAATTTTATATAATTATTTCAGGAGAAATCCAGCCAGGTACATCTACGTCATTCGCTTATACTACTATTTGCAGGTATGCTGTGGCAGGGGTAAGTACTCTGACTTTGATATCTCATGTGTAATATTGTGAACCTCTCCTCAGTACGAGTTATGAGAGGACTAAAAGCATATATTCACCCTTGTAGATGGAATATCAACAACTATGTAAAAAAAAATTAAAAAAATACTTGAGGAGGGGAAAACTATTAAATGTTAAGGTAATATATGAACTGACGCTAACAATAAGTATCAGTTGATTATACTATCGACAACTAATAATATGCTCATGATTATCAAGCTGCTCTATTTTACATTTTTTTAAATCAATTCAAATCATAATTCTTATTTTTACACTGACACAAGACTTTGAAACTTTAAGTGAAAATAATTATAAAAGAATAACGCTCTACAAATTTCTAAATACAATCTAGCTAAATACAAACATCATATTGTAAAGATTTAAAGCATAGCGTATTCCAGTATTCTACTGTTTGGAAATTAAAAAAAAAATAATAATATTCATTCTGAAAGCCCCTCGCCAACGAGTATATGGCACAATGCAACGAGACGCGCCATCTGTAAATTATTAAATTGTGACATAATTTGGACTATTGATGGAGGTAAGCCGTAACCTAAAAAGTAAGAAATATGTTGTTCTGTGAGTTTCTGCTGCTATGTATTGGGACTTTTCATCGATCGCGCCAAGTCGTGAAATCCATGGATAAGTTTAAGTTATTTGATTACCTGCTTTAATTTAAATTTAAGTACTAGCCCTACACCAATCTTACAGTTCTTTTAACAACTGTTGAAGTTTACATCAGGAAATGATTTTCTTCTTACATATGTTTATTGTTTAAAAATGGATTTACAGTCCATTAAAAATTTCCACTAAGATTTGTTTTATATTTTCACTCACCACACCGTATTATCCAACAATAATGCTTCTACGTTATTGTTCCACAAATGATAAAAGGTAGGCCTACGCACTTATACTATTAATTACATAATCACGCTATTGTCTAACCCATATGCTTTGAACTAGTATATAGATACTTATTTTACAATTTGGTTCCAATAGTTGGCCAAGATTTGATTCTCTTACAAAATATTGAATGTATTCTTGTCATTCTTATAACTAGGAAACAATTATTGTTTAAACACAGCAACTTCTGCACAGCAATATACAATATTTACTATAGACAATAATTTCACAACTGCCCCTATTAATCGTTATTGAAACACCGCAAACATTTATGTCGAAAGGTTAGTGAAACCAGTATAGTAAATTAATTAATTTAGTTTTAATTAATACTAAATTAATTTAAAAAAAAAAAAACTACGACCAAGATGATCGTCGAATGAATGTAAATTACTTTGGATTGATGAGTTATAATATCATAAATGGAACACGTTTAGTCCAATATGGATTATAACATAAACAGTCTTAAATTTCCATTATTGGTATAAAGTCAACTAAAAGAGTTGATGTTGGAACTATTCAATCAAGTTCAAGGCAGAGGTACAGAGTAGGTGGCTCCCACACCGCCTTGCACCTTGCTGGAGTGAGGGATGGTGTTGGCTGCCCCATGGATAGACAGGATGCCGGGGCCGAGCTTGGTGCTGCCACCCACACTGCCTGTGACGACGTTCCCTTGTCCTCTGTAGTGAGTGATGTCAAGGCCGCCCTGGAGGCCGCTAGGGTGCTGGTAGTTGACACCACCCCCGACAGTTGACGCACCGTTGTAAGGTCCGCCGAACACGTGTGACCCGTGTGCAGACCCCTGCAGTCCTCCCTGTGAGACTGGCGTGTTGGCGTGTCCGTGGACGATGGTACCGCTGGGACGGACACTGTTCAGGCTGAGATGCCAGGCTGGTGTCTAGATTAACATAAAACGCTTTTTATTGATGATCATAAAAGTAAGAACAATATTTAGCTGTCGCTTCCTTATTGTTATAAACAGCAATAACCTTTAGCTGCGTTTTCGATTTGGCAAAATCCAGATTAATCGTGATTATTATTTGATTTTACAACACCACTACCGGAACCAGAAACCTTTATATCTCTTATATCTGTAAAACAAAAAATAAACCATAAAGATGTTTTTAATTTTAAAAAATTTATAAAATGTACCTGAAAATTGATTTCTCATATTTGGCGAAATCGCTCAACATTTGGGTCTAAATAGCTGATAATCGATTAGTTACTAATCATTACGTTCATACAACTAATTAGCCAAAATAGCCAAAGCGCGCATTCTTTAGCCTTTAAAATACCTGTCTGCAAATATTCTTTTTTTAAAGTAGTAATTTTAAGGAGTTTAAAAAATTTGACAATGTTTAAGAATTATATTTTATTTTTTTACCGGCTCATTACATACATTATTGAAGGCCCTATATTAATATTACGCTCCCAAAAAATCTGTAAAGCTTGTATCTACATCTGGCTAGAAAGACGGAGTCAACAGATTTGAATAATATTTTGAACTCACTGCGACCTGATAATCAACCTACTCATACAGTGTAGTAGTAGGTACACTGTACAACTAGTACAACTAATCAAACACTAGTAGTCTTATAGGCAAGCTACTATTTCAATTTACTACTATTTTATATAGGTAGCTGGTATTTCAATAGGTAGTAGGTTTTCGCTATAGTCCGTGTGTTTTTTCGATCTAATTGGCGTGTAACCAAACCTGAGTTGTACACTGTGATCATTATATTTGCTATATATATCGTGATATATGGTGGAAAAGGTAGCGGTAAGGAGTTTGTTCTAGCTATGTGTATTTGTTTACTCTAGTTTTACTCTAGCCTAGTTTTTCTCGTGTTCCTGCAATATCTCGACGCAAGTACGCGTCAGCCTTGCTTAGCGTGTCTGTATGTAGCCAAACTGCAGGCGTTAGACCAAGGCAGGGATTCCGTTGTCTAAATATTAATCTATTTCTAATGTACTAATCCCTCCTGAGTCCTGGACACTAGTGTTACTCTTTTGTAGGTAATTATTTAATTTTAAATAAACATTTGTTGTATATCATCGAATGATCATAATGATATTGAGACCCATGGTACATAGTAATTCGTTGTTTTTAATTTGTAACTAATTTATTTTAAAAGTCCAAATTTGAAAATTGGACCGCGATAATCCATACTTCTTACATTGTTAAATGAAACAAGCTATCATAACATTTTGTAATTTTCAAAGCATTATCAATGTACTATATACATACGAGTTTTCTCTGTAACATCCCTTTTGGCACCCCGTTTCTTGGTGTAACGTAGTGCTCCTACTTTCACATAAGATACTGTGGTTTTATACTATGTGGTCCTCAGTATACTTATCTCTTATGTCAACAGCAACAGCTTGCCATATTTTGCTCTTCATAGCTGTACGTTTTATCGCTGGCATTAGTTGAAACAGGGGTAGAAAATCAATTAAGACTACTCACTTTCAAATGTATATACTTTTGCAATGCTTTAAAACAGAACCCTAGTTTTTCCGAGCCTTCAACTCCTTATTGAAAAGATATATATATATATATATATATATATATATATATATATATATATATATATATATATATATATATTATTTTAGAATCCAATCTAAATATTTTATTTGTATTTTATTTATACTTTTAATACCTAGTTTATGAAATATGGCCACTATCTTTATTAATTCATTTTTTCATTACATTTACATTACACGTATACTATGTGGCTCGGTTCAAGGACTAATAAACATATGGCTGCCTGACTAATGGTTGTTTGCCAAACATTGCTATCGTTATTCCAAATTGATTGCTCTTATTGGGTAATTATGAAGAGCAGCTTTCGAGTGAGGTGTCATTTCAGGTAACTGTTCACACAAGAGTTTACTAGTTTCTTGCATGTGACACACTGTTTACTACGCTTGCTCTTCAATGATGACGAGGGGATCAATTCTGAATCTTCTAATACGTAAGTATGTTTAAGTTAAGGGCTATTGCCCCTACTGTTAATTTAAATAGATCAATTATAAAAAATGATAAACATACAACATTATTTCTTGGTGATGGTTTTTAAAGAATGAAATAGTTTCTATACAATGGTAAATATTAACTAACGACCTAAATACTGACATTAGAGGATGCAGATAATCTTATGATGTATTTTATGCATGTTTTTAGTTTTGTAAAAATATAGTAGTTTATGCACTGTTATGTGCTGTTAAATTCAATTATTAATTTTGAATAATTATGTTACCTTTTTTTTAGTATTGATTTTTTGTTCAAACGTTTCAATGGCGAAGAGGGTATTCACAAGAGAACCAAGTCTAAATATACCGAAAGAGGAGCTGATCAAACATATAGAGCTACGAAAAGTAAAGTAAGATTTAAATTATACTTACACATAAATATAAGCAAAACCACGGTCTTTTCCGTTAATTATAAATTAACAGCATATCCATTAACAAACAAATTACGGCAGTTAACTTATTTTCCATAAAAATAACATTAGAATTGTAAATTTCAAATTTTTTTTCGTAACAAATAATTGTAAAAAACACTTCAATATACTAAATTATTTTTGTCTTTAAAATTGTACCAAGAGGATTTGGGTAATTTTATATTTTGAAAATCAAAAGTGAGAACCCCAATTTTTACCCTTTAAACCCCCAATAAAATCCCGTTCCTATGGTCTGACCATGCTCGTTCGCAAAATGATTCAAGTTTATCCTGCCCTACACTTGCAAGCCAAAAATGTCATCAAAATCTAACAAAGATTACTGAAGTTGTCACGGTTATGGACGTATATAAATTTGAACGAATTGTGTTTTTGCCCTCAAAAAACATCAAAGTTAAAATGGGAATCGGTCCCGGGTCTAGGTCTTTCCCTATAGGGAAATTTTATAAATTGAAATGTCGTTATTAATCAATGGTTTTATGTGTATTAGACTTAACTAATATTACTCAGACACAAAAAACAATACATTAAAAAATTGTTAAATAAACATGTTTTAAGAACTAAGAAACACCTATAATTCGGTAATTTGATTGTACGAATACATTTTAATATAAAGATATCGTGTTTGTAAAAAGGTAAAAAATATTAGCTAAGACTGTATGATGAGGGAACCTTTCATTATATTAACAAGAAGTTTTAAAATGAATCTAGTTGATCAAAACCAATATTAATTAAGTAGCAAATTAAAAAAAAAAAAATAAAAAACAAAAAAAAAACACTTTTTCTAGTAGTTACATACCCGGTGCCCGAGGTCCCAGGTTTAGATCCCGTCAATCACCAATGGTTTTTACGGTTGAAAATATTAACTTATGACGGAGTTTAATGAATAACTAATTAGTGTAGGTTTGTGATTTACTTTTTAATATGACAACTATAAATATGTAAACGTGACTTATTATACAACACCGAAATATATCAAAATGTATGTTTTATACATCGTAGAGTCATCACTGGACCACCACTAATAAATGTTTTGACTACCGTTTGGTGTTACAGTGTATTTCATTATTAATTCTCATATAGTGTAGCAGTATGTAGTAGTCACAATTTAAACAAATAACTACCTAATGTTTCTTCATTTTGTAATATTATTTAGAACGTTTTATAAACATTAATCTAAAATTCTTAGAAACAATTGGATGCCCAAGGGATTGGGAGAGGCTGAAGGTGGCGTACTACCTCGATTCGAAGGCAGTCCTGACGACGCACTAAAGATATTTGAAAGGAAAGGAGACAAGTATACGTTCGACAAACAACCGCTGGCTTCAGCTGATCAGCTCATGACGGACAGTTTCGGCTACAGAAAGGACAAGGAGTCCATTTTCATTCTACACACAATCGGAACCGACGCCCAACACCTTAGCGTAAGAAACGTCGTATCCGGTGAGTGTTGAGTATATGTTAACTTCAATACTATGCTTCGATTACGATTAGTCGACAAACGATTTTAGCGAATTCCCCCTATAGGGAATAAGCTATTACCGTAGTACTCATGGTAAGACCTGGACCCGGGACCGATTTACTTTTTCGTTTTGAGGTCCCCAGAGACCAAAAACACCATCCGTTCAAATTCATATAAATGTGTGTGTCCGTTAGCGCGATAACTCGAGCAAAAATCATCCGATTTTGATGAAATTTGGTACAAACGTGTAAACCTACGTTTATTCAAACGAGTTCGCAAACCAGCATGATCGGACTATGGGAACAGGGGTTTATGGGGGGTTTTATGGGGTAAAAATTGGATTTTCCCTTTTTTGACCCTAACAACTTAGAATTTTTCTTTCCAAACCATTTTGTAGAGCTTAAAAAACAAATAATTTAGTATAATGAAGCGTTATTATGCACCTGATGGTTACGAAGAAAATTCCAAAAATCTGTAAATAAAAGATCCCCATGTTATTCTTATGGAGAATAAGTAAACTGTTGTAGTTTGCTTGTTTATGAACATATTTTGATGAAATTTGGAAAATGCATTCCTTTCATACTAAACCATTACATTTTACAAAAAAAAAATACCTTTTTACTCTCCCTGTTGCAGCAAACCTAAACCTAATGTTATTTAAATAGGGAATAAATGTGATATTTTTAAGGAGACATTTTAGTGTAAATCCAGTCAGGCAAATGGAAATTCGGTTAGTCTGCAGGTTTCCTGCTGCGGGGGTATTACTTTCTTAGTTTAATTACCAGCTGTGCTTTAAATCGTATACATGAAATTAATAAAATCATATAAAACGTATTACTCGTATCACTTATTAGTCATGAGGACGCCATGAACATCCGTAATTGTAACTTCAGTATATTGATAATACCCCCAAAGCAGCAACTCTGCATACCAAGCTAATTTCTATTTGCCTAGTTCGGTTCTTACTACAATTTTTCCTATTATAGTAAGCACGATGACTGAAGTGAAAATGAAGCGGTTTTGATGACATTTGTTACAAACTTCTGAATCTACGTCCATTTGAACTACTTTGTTTACGGTAACATTTTAATTGGACTATAAAACGGGCCAAACCACACAATAGCATGAGCGAAAGGTCTTGCATTATAAATATTTTAAAAATAGTGCAAATAGTGTAAATAAATAGTGCTAAATTGAGGTGGCTTTCACAGGAAGAGCAAGAAGACAAAGGCCTTTTCATCATATAAATTAAGATTATCCAAGTGTTTTTTTTTTTTTAGTATTTACTTGAGGAATATAATTAAACTTCTTGATTAAAAATACTTGCAGTTGCCCACAATTATGATCAAAAACATTTTAGACTGCCAATTCTAATAAGAATTTGTCAACAGCACTGGCCATGAGAAGGCTAATATGGAATGAGTACAACGTGTTTCTATTTAACATGCCAAACGTAATGGACTTCATGCTGAAACACGTCGTAAGATCAATATTTATTCCTGCAGGTACAAAAAAGGTAAATAATACAAATAAAGCTACAAAAATCTTTCTTTAGCTTTTACAAGACCAATATTTTTGTTTCGTCGCTTACTTAAAAACGTAGCTTCACTACAGTGTAGTACCTAATACGGTCTTTCATAATCCAGTTTTATAATTCAAGAGTTCATTTAATCTTTAGGCGTTGCTTTTATTTTTTCAATATATCAAATACCATCGCTCACTGTATTTCACTGAATGCAGTCCTAGTTTGAAATAGAGTTTGAAACATTTCTCATTTATGATACACTAGTACCATGAATCAGTCGTGTTTACGTTTTATTTATACTTACTATTACATTTTTTTCAGTTACAGGAAGTAGGTACAGTTTTAGGCAACTTTTTCAACTCATTAATTGTGAAGGAACTGATAAATGCCAATCAGATTCATATTGTGGGGTTCTGCTATTCATCCCAAATTTCAGGATACATAGGACGATACGTTTCTTCTTATAATGGCGGAGAAAGAATAAAATCTATAACCGGTAAGGGAAACTACTACCTACCTAAAAACCTTTTGCAATAAACTTCATATTGCTGTTATAGCTATAAATTGAAGTCAAACAATTTATGATATTCGATAATCATTGCTAATAATAGCCAATTAGCTTAACTAGCTTAACTTGTCTTAACATAAAGTACCATTTGGGTATTATTTACATTTAATAATGTATATTTACAAAGACTTAAATGATTCTCTATTGACTCTCGACGATATGTTTACTATAAACATCGGATACCTAGATATACATCTCATAAAATATGCATTTAAATATATGAGGTTAGACAACTTTTCAATTAAAACAAATAAAAATAAGACATTACTGTAGCAACTGTAACTAATGTTTTATTAGATATATTAGCAGCTTAATATTAAACAAGAATAAAGATTCTTGAATTTGATCAACTTCTTTAGTGGCATGATAAAACTTCCAAAACATATAAATGTTTCAAAAAAACATTGCCAAATCAATGAAATTTAGCATTGTTACTTTATGGTTACTTTAATAACCAAGAGTAGGTATAGGTCAGAGATGGGGAAGACACATAGATTAAATGAGAAGCTTTTCGATATTACTGATTAAGTAACTAAACTCTCATCTTCCATCCAAGAACAATGCGATCAAATAAAGTCACAAAAAATACATCTGGTGGCTGTATCAATTTGGAACGACGGTTGAATGGAAACAGTGATGACAGCAAACTCGTTCATGAAAATCCAAGAACAAACTGTTAGATTTCATCAGTCTTCCTATAAACCTAATGCCCCTACACAGTCCCTGCAAATACCAAAAGCTGATAAGCCAGTATGGTACCACACTATTGTTCCAAGACACGCAAGGAGACCAAAGAGTCATCCGGTAGAATGGAATTTATAAAGGAAGAAAACTGTAATGTGTTCTTAACTATTTTGTTATTTAACCATTTGAAATTAACTAGCAGAGTACCCATCTTTTGTACGGGGTTGGCATATAAGTATAAAATGCTGATTGCAGTTATACTCAAGCTTTGCATTTGCAATGGGGAAGGACGCAGTTAGGTCAAATTCAGTTCTTTAAAATTACAGTATGCTATAGTATACAGGGTGACAAAAAAGTCTGGAAACGGCTTAATATCTTTTTAACTAAATCCGTTAGAAAAGTCAAACCTTTCACATCAACTTACATGTATAAAAACTTTTTTTTCCAAGCATTTTCATGTTTTTACCTCTACCAGGGGACGATCCACGAGGAGTAGGTACATAATCTTTAATGTAAGCATAGGTTGATATGCACACCATTTTAAAGGTCTAGTCAAGTGGAGTTCATTGCCGTAAACCGCGTCTCAAAAGGTTCATCCGTTACAAAATGGCGACTGTTCAAAGTTCTTGTGGAATATACCTTTACAGGCCTTAGTATTGATAAATACTCGTATTAAACATTATCTTGAGAGCTGAAATTCTATTTTAAAGTCAACTAGCTCATAGACTAAGTTTATTCAATCTTCAAAACAAATTTAACCGGGTTTCAGATTTCCCGGCCAATTTTGACTCTGAGTATTTACCATTACTAAGGCATGTGCAGGTATATTCTGCAAGAACTTTGAAATGCCGCCATTTTGTAACAGATGAACCTTTTTTGCCACGGTTTCCGGCAATGAACTCCACTTGACCAGACCTTTAAAATGATGTGCATATCAACCTAAGCTTACATTAAAGATTATGTACCTACTCCTCGTGGGCCGTCCCCTGGTGAAGGTCAAATAATGGCAATGATTGCAAAAAGTAGTTTTCATGCATATAAGTTGATGTGAAAGGTTTGAATTTTCTAACGAATTTAGTTAAAAAGATATCAAGCCGTTTCCAGACTTTTTTGTCACCCTGTATAACACATATACCAATAGCCATAAACTTCTACCACTGCACCTACACAATATAAATTATCAAACATTCGCACAAAATCACAAATTATTAAATTAAAAACATAAACATAACTGTAAACAATCCTACTTTGACAGTTCTCACTGCATAGGCCTATCACAGCTATTTGTTGCTGCTTAGTTCAAATTAGCTGTTGTCATAAATGCAAAGAAAAAAATAATAGTAGGCTGCACCCCGTTGGTAAACCTTATATTTTTGTTGATGCTATTGCATATCATAGAACCAACTTAAATAGTTGAAACAGCTGACTAAATTCTTTAATTTCTTTTATATAAACACTCACAAGGTTAACATGGGGAATTTCAGAGCCACTGGGGTGGAGCCCGAACGGATTTTTGAGCTAAGAATATGCCTATATGTCAATCGGGAATGTGAGCTATCATCATGCAAATTTCAGCCCAATCTATCCAGTATTTGATGTGTGATTGAACTTCAAACAAACAAACACATAAATTTTCACATTTATAATATTAGTATTATTTATTATGATATGATTATTTCTTGTTGCTATGCTTATTTTTTACAAGTTCACCTACAAAACTTTGTTTCAAAATAAAATAAATATTATTTATTTAATACATTTGATTAAGTAAATACGTTTCACTATGTATAAGACTTCTAAAAGGATTACGAAAATCAAAGAAGACGCTAAATATAAGGATTGGAGATGGGTTTCATTTGAAGAAAACAGCTGATTGCACCAGGTTCCTGGTGGAACAAGAAAATTGTTGGTTCAGAGCACAGATAAACATATGAACACACATAATATATAACATCCTCCGGGTAGTAACCAAACAGTAAAACATAAATCATTAAATTAACTCTAAATATTGAAACGACATTTGGCCAACATTTACTAGACACGAAAAACGAGTATCTAGATTTATAATAGGAAGAGAAGTGTGCTTGTGTTGGTTTGTCTATAGTTATACCAAAATTTAAACAGGCTTTTAAATAGAATGATCATCAAAATTTGACAAAAAAACTCCCTTTCTGGATGAAAATGGAATTCTTCGAGTTCAAGGACAGCTGAAAAATGTAAAATGCCTAGCATATAAAACAAATATCCAATATATTGGACCCAGAACATTGTTTTACGAAGCTTTTGATGGATAGATACCATAAGATAATTTTTCCTCAAGTACAAAAGACTGATAATATGTAATTTGACAATGTTACGAAATGTGTTGTCAAAGAAACAGTAAGGAGTAGCTAAAATCTAAGCCCTGTACTTTACGAGTATTTTGGGCCAAGTATGAAAGGAGATAAGTGTACGATGAGTGGCACGATCTTGTAGTCTTGTTAGTGACTAAGGCCTATATTGGGAGATTTAACAGAAGCAAGACTCACAGCTCACCCTTCTATAGTACTGGAATAGATTAATTTGGTCGAATGACAGTAATAATATAACTGAAGGTAGAAGAAACGAGAAGAGGTATGGGGTTTTATGCACATTACTCCATCTATATATTTAGAGATCTCATTAACAAACTAGTGTCACCACAATAATGGCAGTAAAAAGATTTATCGTAAGAAGAGGATTACCAAAAATGAAAAAATCCCAAGAGTAACCTATACATTTTTCTTTAATTATTGGTACTAAATAATTTAAGTGAAATCAAATTTGCTATTACATCATTATGACTTTTGGAACAAAGATCAATACGAGGCTTTAAAAATAATTAGAAGATAGATTAAATTGAGAGTACAGAGTACTGATTTTACCAAAATACCTTTTTCAGCTTTAGACCCATTTACACTAGGGTTATCCGGAGTGTTCAACAAACCCGTTTCCAAGGACGACGCTCAACTAGTGCACATATACCACACCAACTCAATCGCGCTTGGAACACTTTACCGCAGGGGCACCGCTGATTTCATCTTCAACAACGGTTGGATACAGCCCGGATGTTACTTTTGTAAGTAAAAGCGCTGTAGCTCACATTCTCCATTTTTAGTAGGTAACCTTTTTAGGATGGCACCTTTTAAATTTAACTTTAACATAATTTACAGACAATTTTCACAAACAACCATCCCTATGATATTGAACATTTTGAACTGTTTCAACACAAATAATATTATTTTGAGTCGTACGTTGCCACAACAGTAAGGAGGGGGCGAAACCCATTTAGGTTTTAGTACCCTAATACCATTTTCATTTGTTATTTACTTTCACGTTATTTGTAATTAAGATTTGTTGATCAACTCCTCCTTATTAATTATATTTCTGGCTGGTGTGTTAAATAAATTATATAATAAATTACACTAGCAGGTTATATGACAAATAATACAACATAATTTCCTCATAAATAAGTTAAATTGATATATTAGTTGTGACAAAGAAGGATTTTGTCCACGCCACGGAAAGTAGGCCCTAATAAGACAAGATCGTGCTTTTATTTTTCAATTTAAAATCTCAGAGATTTATTATTTATGCATATATATACAGTTCAAAATGTGCATTATATTTACCTAGGAGTATGTCACAAATAATGTCTTCAACAAAAAGTGTCTAGTTTAAAAAAAAATATAAAAACCACTGTGAAGGACAAACGTAATTATTATTTATTTAACTGTATTCCCACGGTTTTAAACTGTCTTCTTTCCAAAGTAAACAAACGTCTTTTAATTTACATTACTAACACAATGTGGCATATAATACTTTCACTTGCGTAATTGACAAATTTAAGGTAACTTATTTTCTTCAGCGGAAAATTACAACTGCAGCCATTGGAAGGTATGCAAATATTTCTGGAACGTAATCCTGTATCCTGAGCTGTGGGTCGCAAGGTCATGTCCAAGCTGGCTACGTTTCAAGACCTGTCTTTGTAACGCCAGAGCAAGTGTGTCAATTACGTTCCCTCCTGTGGAAGGGTGAGAAAAGCAGAGTGATTAGTCAGTTAATACACGTAGAAAATAATCACTTGAGTTAACCAAATATATTAGTTTGTTGAAAAAGGTTTAAAACCTCATTAATATATTTCATTTGGTTTATTTTATTGAAGAATAGATACCAAACTTTACTTTTAAGTTTTAATTTGGTTGTTTAATCTATTTCAAAATTAGTTTGTTGACTCGGTAAATTATAGTACACAAATTACCTCTGATTTGCTGGTTCAGAAGTAGACTTTAGGGTAGTAAAATCATGATAAACCTTTCAAAGGTCTTATGAATAATAAATATTACAAATGGTCAGGCGGAGCCTTGTCTACTTTTTCTTTCTCCCTCTATAGTAGGTAAGTATAGGGGAGAAAGTATGTTTTTTGTCAACATTTGATTTTTGGTGGATATATCTGTTTTGGGCCCCTCCTTAAACCAAAAAAGTGGTTATCAAAATTATGTGCAATTCAGTTCAAAAATCTTTATTCATATAAAATAGCTTTTATACAATTCCATGAGCAACCATGTGTTGTAAACACGCGTGGTTGAAAACTTAAAACTATATCTTATATTCCATATAAATACTGTGTAAATAAAGTGTGTCTGTCTGTCTGTCTGTGTGTGAGTGTGTGTGTTTGTGCTAAAAATCTACCGATGGTCAGATTTTGATTACATTTGGTAAATGGTCCATGGCATCTCTAGAAGATTTACCATTTTTTTTTTGATATTTTGATTTTAATGGTGATTTCTCCATAAAAACCCTTAAAACAACGGTACCCCCATCACTGTAACATTTACGGTTCAAAAGTCATTGCAACTTTTGCAATTTTATTTATTAAATATCATAGTTGCTCCCATAAATCTTTGTGGCTTTTGTCGACTGAGTGTACTAAATATGATATTTCTTTCAATTTATTCCCATTACTATGAACTATTGCAGATCCTACACGTACTTTCTCATCTTTCTTGTTGTGAATCTTCTTCTCAGGTGTTTGTTTCAAAACCACGTCATAATATCCAATCATATACCTACTTTTTAACTATTTATTTTACTAATTAGAACACCGTGTTACAGTGCACGAGGATCGTACTATTTGAACACGTTGGCTCATAAGCCCTACGGCATTGGTCCTCAAGCAGCCTATTGCTACACCAGAAAGATTGACAAGGATACGCTATAAATAAGCAATGCTGGCAACCAATAAAAACTTTTTTAGTTTTATTTTAACAGGCAAATTGATTATTTAAAACATCCCGTATTTTGTAGTATAATGCAATATAAATCCTTACATAATACACTGTGTACCATGTGTTTAAGATAAAAGTAGCTCAGCTTTTACTTTATTAGTCTTGATCGCTCTCGATAACTATTGCGTTAAGACTAGGCAAAGTTCTTGGTAGGAAATTGGCTTGGATAGTCTATCCCTCTTTTTTTAAGACAACCATTACTCACTCGTTTGTATGCCAATTTTATCTTTTATTACAGTAGAATATTACTAAAATATTTACTAAACCTAGATGGCTAGACTTCTCAGATGTCCTTTGCTAATAAAAAAATGTCAGTAGATAGTGTCCACTTTCTTTCATGCAGGATTCAAGCATTTTTTTTTTTATTTTTCCATTACACGTCTTGGCATTTGATGGCCACCATTAATTTGCACCCTTCCTTGTTAATTGCATCCTTAACAGACATCAGGGTTTGAGGTTTGTGAGTGTAGACTTGACATTTTATAACGCAAAAAAAATCACTAACGCTCAAATATGGCAACCTTTGAGCCACAGTATATCACGTGAAACGTGAAAACCGCATCATATAAACGTAAAAGCCTTCCAGGACTATTAGGCGGATGTATACGCTTGCATTTTGTGCATAGCGGACGGTAGGTGGATATATCCGCATATTATTATGACAGTTATTGTTATAGTTGATTGTCTATAACATCATTAATCTTCGTAAAATCGTCCGTTTATTCAATTATATCTTTAACCGATGTACAAGGAATGTTTTTCTAGAAGAATAAGAAATTTAATAATTTTTTTTATTAAATACAATTTTAAACTAACCTAAATCTTTTAAGAAATTTAATACAAAAAAGTAAAAAAAATAGTTCGGACAAAAGTGCTGCATCGGTCACCTTTTTACAACATTCTATAAATTATAGACATTGTTATGTTTTTATTTCAACTAGTGTCCCTGTTGCTCGAAATCGAGCAATTGCTAAGTATTACAGGCGTTATTTTAAAACGAATAACAGTCATATTTTTTTATGACTATAAAAGATTCGACTCAATGATTATGGAATACTCAAGATGTACATAACAGATCGATATAATCAACATTTCTTGTAAATATCTTATCATTTTTCAAAAGCAGATTTTGTTTTTTAATGTTTATAACACACATTATTTCTATTTCTTCCCCTTGGTGGTGTACTATGACTTTCCTATGTTTCCATAGTTTGCAAATCGTCTCTTTCAATGATTACTAAGAAATGCAGCACAGTGTTAATTCAGTTTTCTTTTTAGTATATCAATTTATCCAGGCTCTCTCGTTTTTTCCCATTGTAATAATTACGCCAACCCAAATTCAAATAGTAACTATTTCATTTCAACCGAGTAAGTAAATGTTTGTGGCAAACTAACTGTTAAATTAGCAAACTTATTGACTGTTTACATTTAACATATGTTCTTCTTCTCACTTTTAACTTCTGACAACAGCTGGAGTTTCATAACAATGTTTGTTTCCCATGTTAATCTTATGGAGAAATACGAAACTTTAAAGAGCCCCAGGGCCTTACTCTCTAATTATTTCCCTAAAAAGGAAGTTTCCTGCACAACTTCACGTTACGCTCTTTCCAATGACACCAAGAACATGTAAATCGGTTCAGTAGTTTCGGAGGAGTAATTGTCACAAAAAACCTGCTTGCGTATTAAATAAGTACTAGTGTACATGTTGCTCGAATTCGAGCAATTGTAAAGTATTACAGGATTTGCAAACCAATAACAATCATACTTAGTTATCAACATTTCAACAAAAACACACCTACCTTCCCTGTAGCAGCAAACCTAAGTACGCATATTAAAATTAACTTAATGTTATTTAAATAGGAAAAAAAATACCATTTTAAGGGAATAATTAATCTTTGTAATAATTAAGCCAGGTAAATGGAAATTCGCTTAGTCTGAAGGTTTGCTGCGGATACACAATTTTAATAACAGTAAAGATTGAAGAATCTGAATTTTTACTTATATCCATGAATTTATCTAACAATTATTTCCTGTAAAATATTATTACAGCAGTTCAAAAATATTGAAACTAACTCAATCAACAAATGATGTTGAAAGAATTCCATACTAATGACATTAACATATAGTTTGACAGTTCCATTTAATCAATGTTAAATGTTTACATTCGGGCATAGACAAAAATGATTCGGGCGAGTGACATATTTGATTCATGTTTATGATCCCTACCGTTCCTGTTCTAATAATCATGCAGTATTTAATATGTTTGTACCAGCTGTGTGGAATTGTGAAATCAAAATTAATTTGACAGTTAGTTCTGCTTGTTTACATTTTTAAATTTTGTGGGTTGTTCTTTGTTACCATGGATACCATCAATAAATATTTCACTCTTAATTTCTGACAACAGCTGGAGTTCCATAACAAATTTTGCTTTCCATGTTAATCTTATGGATAAATACGAAACTTTAAAGGGCCCCAGGGGCTCACTCTCTAATTATTTCCTTAAAAAGAAAGTTTCCTGCACAACTTCACGTTACGCTCTTTCCAATGACACCAAAAACATGTCAATTGGTTCAGTAGTTTCGGAGGAGTAATTGTCACAAAAAACCTGCTTGCGTATTAAATAAGTATAGATATAGATAAAATAATTTTGCTGTCTGTATAACACAGTCTGGGAAGGGACTGGACACACCACGGCCATTGAATTCTGATCAGGGTGGACGATGAATCTTGTTGAAAATAAACATAGGTACGGTATTGTTTTATCAAACATTGTTGTCTCACCTGTTACCTG